ACACCGGTTCCCATCCGAACACCGAAGTTAAGCAGGCGGCTCGATCCCCATTACGAGGGGAGAGGGTCGCAGGGTTCAAGTTTTTATGTTTCATTTTAAACTAAATTTTAAAGAGAGTTGTGTATATGACTGATTCCGAAAGTCGTCTCTGTCTCTCTCGCACTCATGGGGCGTCAGGCGTTCCGTATAGGTGCGAGAGAGACACAGCGACGAAAACGACTCTCGGAATCAGTCTGCTGGCCAGGGCGGCGTCGAGGCCTTGGTCGAGGCCGCCGTCAGGTGCAGGGCTTTGTTGGGGTTGTCAGCGCCACACCTCGCCACGCCCCGCCACGCCCAACTGAGCACCTTTCACAACCTCCTTGCCATTCATGAAGTGCTGGGCGTGGCGCCGTGGGGCGGCGGCAGCAGCAGCGACGGCAGCGCGCCGAACAGCCACGCCGCCCAAATGAGTCGCCGGGAGAAAGGGGCGAGCGCGAGGGAGGCACCGGGGGGCACACCGTGGGGCACACCGTGGGGCACACCGTGGGGCACACCGTGGGGCACACCGTGGGGCACACCGTGGGGCACACCGTGGGGCACACCGTGGGGCACACCGTGGGGCACACCGTGGGGCACACCGTGGGGCACACCGTGGGGCACCGGGCCGGGCGGGCTTCACAGCGTTCCGTCGCCCCATCTCTCTCGCACGCCAACGGAGCACTCCGTGAGTGCGAGAGAGACAGAGCGACGATAGCGATGTTCGGCATCGCTCTGCTGGCCGGGGTGGTGCGGCCCTCTCGCACTCGGGGCTGGGCTGCGTGAGAAACGGTGAGTCTTCGTCGCACCAATGAGCCGGCTGGCGTCGCAGACAGGAGGTACCCGACGGCGTCGCCCCGAACGCGGCCCCGCGAGGGTACGCCGTAAACAGGGTGGCGGATCGAGGAGCCCAGGTCCCCGCGCCCCGCGCCAGCAAGTACCCGGAGTCCCCGAGAAGCTCGCCGAGAGGCCCCATGTGGTCCCGCGGCCCCAAAAGGCGGCACGGCACGGAACGGCAGGGCGGGGCGCGGCGAGCCTCGCTTGGCGGCAGGTGAGGAGGCCGCTGCATTATGCATTTGGCGGCAGCGACGGGGACGCCGAAGAGGGTGGGTGGGGAGGGCTGGGGTTACAGGTGCAGGTCGCACCACCGCAGAAGACTGCCTTGATTTTGTTTTTACATTTTTTCCCTTTTTTGTCGAAGGCGTTGGCTCGCCTCCACGACGGCTCGACTGCCATTAAGGAGGTGCCAGGCTCTGCCAGGCCAGCGCTTCATCGCTGCGTCTCTCTCGCACCGCCATGGGACGCACCACGAGTGCGAGAGAGACGGGCCGACGAAAGCCCAGCTCGGTATGAGCCTGTGCAGACCGGGCCGGGCGGCCCCATGTGCCCCGGGCGCCACCACCACCACTGCCGCCCACCCCAAACTGCCCAGACTCCAGACACCAGCTGCGCTCCGGCGGGGCGGGGCGGGGCGGCGGGAGCAGCGCACAGGCCTGGCTTAAGTAAGCCCCCCGTCGCCCGTCGCCCCACCCCGCCCCGCCCCACCCGGAGTCTTGTCGGAGTATGTTCGGGCCGAGATAGTTGGCGGACTTTAAAGCCGCAAGTTTAGGCCGGCCGTGCCGCCGCGCCACGCCGTGGCCACGCCCTTGGCGGCAGCGTGCCGCACCTGCAGTGCCTGCAGTGCGTGATCCGGGCCGCCGCTTCGCTGCTTTACTGCTTTACTGGTGTGCCGGTTTTACCGGCAGCCCGCTTCACGCGGCCCGTCCCCCTAAAGTCTCTCTATGTACCCTAAAGCAAACGACGGCGCTTAGGCAGGCGGGCGGGGCGGGCGCACAGTGGGCCAGAAGACCGGTGGAGGCGGCCAAAACTCTAGACGCGTTTTGAGCTCCAGAGTCGCTAAATGGGACTCGAACCGAACGTGTGACCACCAATGGATTGCTCTACAAACGACGAATCCATTGATACGGTCACACGCTCGGTTCGAGCCCTGTTTAGCGACTCTGGAGCTCAAAACGCGTCTAGAGTTTTGGCCGCCTCCACCGGTCTTCTGGCCCACTGTGGGGCGGGCAGGCAGTCCCCGTAATGTCCGTTATCTCCCCGTCGCTCTCCGTCAAGGCGCGCGACGCACGACGCGCTACGCGTCCTATATCAACTTGCTACCAAGACCCTGGGGTCTCGTCCGGAGCCCGCGCGCCCCCCGCTGCTCCCCGGGGCCCACGCGTCACGTCATGGCGCGCCCCGGAACGCCTTGGAACGCCCCTCGGAACGCCCCGCCGAATAACACGCCCCCCGCGCCGCGCCTCACTAGATGAGGCCAAGTGACAGCCGCCGTGTCGCGTCGAGACAGTGTTACCAGGTAAGCAGGCAAAAAGCTCACGAAATTTTCCACGATTAACAGGTGTTATAAATGCGTTGCAAGCCTCAGCCTGGTAGGCAACCCTCTCGACACAGCTGCATAGGCGGGAATGTTCGCGTACCAGTGTGCCGACACTGCGTGGGCAGTGCACTGGGGCTGCGGGGCCGCAGGACAACGCTGCCCTCATTCCCACCGACAACCCAGAAGAAAATAGTGTAGGACTTCCCCCGCCCCCGCGCCGCCTGCAAGTCAATCGCACTTCTCTCGCGGCGGCCGCATTGCAATTCAGAATCCACAGCCACGCGACGCAGGCGACGGAGGCGACACCCCCACCCTTTTTCATCTCCACATTGCAGTTCGACGCTCGCACGCCGCAAAAGGGACGCGGACGCGCTGGCACGTCGCACAGTGGGCCAGAAGCCGGTGGAGGCGGCCAAAACTCTAGACGCGATTTGAGCTCCAGAGTCGCTAAATGGGACTCGAACCGAACGTGTGACCCCACCAATGGATTGCTCTTCGAACGAGGAATCCATTGGTGGGGTCACACGTTCGGTTCAAGTCCCATTTAGCGACTCTGGAGCTCAAAACGCGTCTAGAGTTTTGGCCGCCTCCACCGGCTTCTGGCCCACTGTGCGTCGCCACACCGACGTGGAGTCCCCCGAGGCGGGCGCCCGCCGCCGAGTGGATAGGCAACCCGGCTCGCCGCCCTGGCACAGCTCAGCACAGCTGCAAAAGAACCGTCGTTACACCGCGCGCAGGGTTAAACCGCGAGGTTAAACTCGGCGCTCGGGGTAGCAGCACGTTTCTCTCCCTTTCCCCGACTCGGTACGTCTGGCGCCTTTGTATCCCGGAGGCCTGGAGCCGGCCGGAGCCTGGAGCCCCAGGGGCGGGTACGTGTCTGGCCGGCACTGCAGGGGGGCCACGCGGCCTAACTGCACGAGGGGGCCCGAGAGGCGGGGGCGGCGGGGGCGGCGGCGGGGGCGGCGGCGCCCAGGCATGTTTGCCGTGCTGATCGAACGAACCGGCTGCCAGCACCTCAGCCTGCCTCCCTACAGCCCCTGCACCGCCGCGCCGCGCCACGCCGCGCGCTGAATGGATTGGAGTGGATTTGGGCAGCGTGGCCCCGAAGAGGATACAGGGAGAGGAGAGGGGAGGGGGATTGAGGACACACAAGAGGATACAGCAGGCGAATAAGGGGATGGGGATCCGTCGGGCTGGGCGGGCCGCGAGCGCAAACAGAGAGAAAAGATGGGGCAAGAAACTCCCTGGCTGGCTGGCTGGCTCGAGTGTATATATCGCCCACATCACGCACGCCGCGCCGCGCCCTGCCGCCCTGGTCCCTGGCAGCGCCAGATTGAGGGAGACGTTACTCGGTGGCGTGGCAGGGCGTGGCAGGGCGTGGCAGGGCGTGGCAGGGCCACAGGGCGCGGCGCGGGCCACGGCGAGGCCCCCAAGCCTCAGATATTATTTTCCTTGGGTAAACTGCACACGCGCGCGTCCCCCGGCCCGCACCGCGACGCTCTCCGCTCGCGGGAAGCACGGCGTCCCTCCTCCTTCCTCGCCGACTTGGGGCCCCGGACCGGATCTCCGCGGGGCTCTCCGCGACTCTCCTGGGGGTGGGAGAGGGAGGGCCGGGCCCAAACCGTGTGCGTCGTTATTCACATATTCTGGATTTCTCAGGTGGCAGGGCCGCGTGAGCGAGCAGTGAGCACGAAGGGCTGGCGCTGGCATTTAAAATTACAACGCTCTATCTCTCTCGTACATGGCGGCGGCTGTCGCGCTGGGGATGGGATGGCCCGCTGTCCGACCGATTTCGACAGGTGAAGGTGAGACCCATCGGATTGTCTCTCTCGCACCCAGAGTGCGGGAGAAAGGAACATGCTAGGCCGGAGTTGAGCCCCTTGCTGGATTTATATGAGTGAAAGTGTCGCGGGCCAAAAGAGATTTTTCCCAAGCTGACCCGGCACAGTGGGCCAGAAGACCGGTGGAGGCGGCCAAAATCTCGGACGCGTTTTGAGCTCCAGAGTCGCTCAATGGGACTCGAACCGAACGTGTGACCCCACCAATGGATTCCTCGTTCGGAGAGCAATCCATTGGTGGGGTCACACGTTCGGTTCGAGTCCCATTTAGCGACTCTGCAGCTCACCTATGGAATGCTCTCCGAACGAGGAATCCATTGGTGAGGTCACACGCCCGGTTCGAGTCCCATTAAGCGACTCGGGAGCCCAAAACGCGTCCAGAGTATTGGCCGCCCGCGCCGGCCTTCTGGCCCACTGTGCCGGGCCTGCCCCGTGCCCTGCTCGACCTGGTCGGCCTGCTTTCGGATGCAGCAGGGGCAGCACAGCATCCGGCCTGGTCTTCCGGTCCGCACCGGATTCCGGCCCGCTGTTGGAACGCGGACAGCACCGGACAGCACCGGGCAGCACGGGACAGCCCCAGAGCAGGGTCGCTTCCACAGCGGCGGGCCAAGACGTCGATTTCGGCTCGGCCGACGACACGTCCCACGTCTCACACGCTGGGAATGTGGTCAGGGCACGGCCTCGGCACGGCCTCGACGCCGTGGTGACAGGTGACCGATCACGCTCGCCAGACTTCAAGCGAGACTGGCAGTATTCTTTCTTACCTTTTGTTTCATGCAAAAATTTCTCATCATTTTATTTCCTGCATTTTGAAGGTACTGAATTTCGAAAGAAAATTATGTGAGCTGTAAAGTCATGATTTAGGCTTGGCAGGCTCGTTGGTTGGCAAAGTGTATGATCCTGTTCTGCGCTTTGACAGGGTCTGGGGGGAAGCCCCATTGAGGATGGAAGAGAATGCGCGCAAATCATCCTCTTTCTCTTGCTCCAGACACGATATGCGGGTTTTTAAAGTTAGTACCTCTTCTTGAAGGATTTCAAGCCTAAAAATTAAAAATTAATTACATTGTATACTTTTATGTTGAATCATAAGAAATTCGCAATTTTCTATGTTTGGTTCCTATAGCATAAAAACTTTGTACGTACCTATCTTCCATCTCCTCTTTAGATGTACCATCTTCCGCTGGTGACGCTGTCACCTTCTTGGGAGATACTTGACGCCTTGGTATGGACATTTTCTCTTGTTCTTGTCGTGCAAGTTTGGCTTCAAGCCTGGCAACTCTTTGACGCTCAAGGCGCAATGCACTCTAAACAAAACATTTTTTGGTCATCAGAGTACCAGCAAGGAATAGCAGGAGATAACCGGAGGTAGCAGGTTTTTATAAAGAGAGAAGAAACTTTTTTTCACCTTGTGTTTGTCACTATCATGACGAGCATCATTCAGCCGCCTGTTTAGGGATCCAATCAACTCTAAAAGCTTCTTATGTTCTTGTTCTGAGACCTGTACTTTCTGGTTTTCAATATTCTGTTTTTCCTGTAATGATTCCATTTTTATAATTGATCCCCAAACAATTTTTTTCAGATTTATGTTGTAACAGACAATCTTACCTCAGAGACAGAACATAAATTTATGGCTGGTAATTCCACTGTCTGAATTGTTTCCTCTCTACAGTCAAAATTTTTCATTTTCAAAATTAGAAAACTCAATAGGGAAGAACCATAGTTTTTAAGGAGGAGAAACTTACTTCATTTTTGAGGCACTGATTTCCCTTTCCTTCAAGTCAAATAAAATGTCTTCCAATCGTTTCAGTTGTTTCTCCTTATCCTCTAGATTCGATAACAGCTGCACGCTCCTCTGCTTTTCCTGTAATAGGAATGGTGTTGTGAGTTTCTTTAGAATTATGCTTTTCAAAAATTTAATTTATTAATTATAAAATTTTACTGTAATTCAGAAAAGTTACAATTTTTAGATCATCTTGCAGCTGTTCAAAGAACCTGTCTGACTTTTTCAGTTCAGACCGAGCCTCCTCCTTGCACGTTTGAAAACGCCCTTCCAGTTGGGTAATTTGGCCCTAGAGTAAAAGAAAAAATTCATAGTACAGGTCATAAAGAAAGGAGTCCCCTTAATTTAATTAGTGCTGCTTTCACCCATGTTTACCTGAAGGATTTGAATAAAGTCATCATTTCTAGCACCTTTATCAGTGAGTGTTTGAATATGGGCTTTGAAAGAGCTGTTTTCTGACTCTAAGACTCTGATGCGAGCCTTTGCTGCATCAAATTTCCGAATGTACTCATTAAGTTGCTGCTTGAAATGACTTGCCTCCTGCAGCGCATTTTCCAAAGATGCTTTTCTTTCTTTGGTGGAGCATCTCCCTTCTCCACATGAACTGGGATTATTATCTGAAATAAAAGGATGCCCAAATAAATGCAAGTTAGGGATACAGTACCCACTACAAATAAAATTCTTAATAAGTTGGAATGAACTTACCTGAAATGCGATAATCACAGTACTTTCTCAGGCGCTCAGAAAGTTCCATCACCCTTTGCTGAAGCACTTGGATTTGTTGTGCCCTTCCTCTCCAACTTCCAGCAGTTCCCCCGGATAAAAGAAGATCTGGTATGGAAACTCCTTCCCCAACTTCACATATTAAAACCTAGAAAAGTTCAACTTCATCTCCTGTTTACCACAAACACTTCAACACAATTGAAAATAAATATGAAGAAAAACATACTTTGTGCGCATTTTTCAGTTCTTGCTGAAGATGTTGCAGTTTGTTCCGACATTCAAAAAGTTTTGAATTTGTAGAATGGAGCTTATCAGATACTGATTTAATCTCTGCCTCCTTCCTGGCCAAAATCTCTGCAAAATAATAAATTACTATTTGATGACAATTCTGATTGCCTATAATGGGTTTGAATCAGTAGAAAATACTTTCCATACCTGAAGGGACTGTTGGTGGGTTTTCTTGAGATTCCATCAAGGACAGAAGATTATTTTCTGCAAGAAGGCATCGACCTTTTTGCTCCTCTAATTGAGCAGTCAGCTCACACACCTTAACATTCAAAGCATTCTCAATGCAATAATGACATGTCATAGGATCATCTGTAAGTCATTGCAACAGACCTGCCTCGAAAGTTCCATGACTCGGCATGCTGCCATGTCAGCATGACGAATTGAATCGAGATTATGAGACAATGAGTGTTGCAAACTTGCATCAAGCGGTAGCAACTCCTTTTTTAGAAGCTGGTCTTTTAATTCAACTACTTCCTCCTCTCGACTTTTCACCAAGAGGGACAACTGTCTGTTTTCATCGCACAGACTCTAAAATAAAAACAGAATATTTAATATGGATACTTTCTTACGCCCTCCATGATTAAATTGGAAACAGTAAAAATTGAGGCACCTTCAGTTTGTCCTGCAGGTAGACATTAAACTCTCCCGGAAACAGCATATCTTGTGGTATGTCACAGACATCCAGCAACTTTTTTAAAAAAATCAGAAAAAATAAAATGTATTTGTATTTTGAATATTATTTTACTTGATAGAATTCCCCTTACGTTGAAGCCAAGATCTTCCTGGATGTGGACTTCTGGAGTCTTGACATCTGCCAACTCTGTGCGGCAGGTTAAGTCCTTCTTGACATTGCTCCTTTTCACTTTTCCTCTCGAGCGACATTTCCGCTGCACTGTAGCGCACGTCGTCAGAGTGTCCACAGACATTCTAGGTCACAAAAATTACTCCAAAGAAGGACTAGAAAACTCGTAATTGTTAAACCTTGCCACTGACAAGGGGCCGACGCATTTTCAAAAAAAATGCGCCCGTCATCCGCGCCCGCGCCACCAGGCTGACACCACACCAAAGACGTATTTTCACAATCAAATCATTTAAATGCACGGGTGAATAAAATATGTATATAGACACTCGCAGGTTGAATAGAGAGTGGAAAAGTGCTTTTCCTCCCGGAATAAAGCAAAATTCAGAGTCAAAATGAGAAAGCACGGCCTGCTTGATGTCGACCAAATGTGAAGAGGTAGAAAAGAAGAACATGAGACGTAAACACGCCGCCGGCGGCCGCTAAAAAGTAGCTTTATTGTGTTTACGATTGAGTTTCTTCCCAATTTTCTTATCAAATCGTTGTGGCTTTACGGCGTGTTTTGTTCCTGGGTCCCTTGTAACTTCTTAGCCAGCAAAATGGCGAGTGGAATGCTGTATGGTGGCGACGAAATCGGTGCGCTAGTGTTCGACATAGGCCATCACTCTCTGCGTGTAGGTTATGCTCAAGAAGATTCGCCTAAAGCTGAAATTCCTGCCGTTGTGGGCATTGCGGAAGATGGAAATTCGAATGCAGTACTTCAGACTGATGCCATGGATATTGACGACAAGAAGCCCGACAATAACATTACCCAGAACGGGAACAAGTACTTCATTGATACCACCATCCTTCATGTCGCAAGAAAGGGAATGGAAGTGACAAGTTACATGAAAGATGGAATGATTGATGATTGGGACCTCTTTGAAAAAGTATTGGACTATACTTATGCCAAAAGTATTCAGTCAGAATCCATGCTTCATCCAGTTCTTATGTCAGAAGCTCCGTGGAATGTGAGATCCAAACGAGAGAAGCTGACTGAGATAATGTTTGAGAAGTACAACGTTCCAGCTTTTTTCCTTGTTAAAAATGCTGTGCTTGCTGCTTTTGCAAATGGCAGAGCGACAGGTATATATTTCGTGAACTAAATTAACATGTGGTTCAAATTGTGATCAATTTCCATTCCTGAATTGTCTACTTTTGTATTACAGCACTTGTCGTGGACAGCGGATCAACCCACACCTCTGCTGTGCCTGTCCAAGATGGTTTTGTTCTTACCCAGGCCATTGTCAAGTCTCCTCTTGGTGGAGATTTCATTTCCATGCAGTGCAAGCAGCATCTTATGGTAACTAGTTTTTGAAAATATTTTAACTATTTGATAATTATTTCTTAATATTGCACTATATTTATGAAATACTGTTCTTCTTTGTTGCAGGATTCTGATATAGATCTGACTCCTTCTTATATGATTGCCAGTAAAGAGGCTGTGAAAGAGCGTGAAAAACCCAGATATGTGAAGAAGAAAGTTATTCCTGAAGTGACTCAGTCATGGCATAACTATATGACAAAAAAGGTGGTTCAAGATTTCCAAATCAGCGTTCTTCAAGTGTCTGAAACACCGTATGATGAAAAATCAGTCTCCTCCATTCCTTCAGTGCACTATGAGTTCCCATCTGGCTATCATCAGGTATTTATTTCATTTTATTTGCATTTTTTTAGCTGACCTCCAAATATAGAAGACCCTAATTTGTGCTGTTCTGTCTTAGGACTTTGTCAACGAGCGCTTCCTCATTCCTGAGGCTCTCTTTGACCCCAGTATTGTGCCAATGCGAGGAGGTGTTGTGGGCAACACCATGCTTGGTGTGGGACACATTGTTACAACAAGTGTTGGCATGTGTGATGTTGATGTAAGGCCTGCATTATATGGGAGTGTGGTCGTTACTGGTGGAAATTCATTCATCCAAGTAAGTTAATTAAGTTTATACTTATTATAAAATAGCATTGCTCATGCTGGATTATATTTGACAACATTCTCTCTTTCCTAGGGATTCCCTGAGCGTTTGAACAGAGATTTGTCCATGCGCATACCATCAAGTATGAGGTTGAAGATGATCAGTGCCAATGGATGCAGCGAGCGTCGGTTTGGTGCCTGGATTGGTGGATCAATTCTTGCATCCATTGGAACCTTCCAGCAAATGTGGATATCAAGCCAAGAGTATGAAGAAGGTGGAAAAGGACAGGTTGATAGAAAATGTCCATAGACAACTAGCTAATAAGTTTGTGTAAGGCTTAACTCTTAAGATTTTACCAAAATATTAATTTTTCTCATATTTCTACTTCAATATTCAACTGTTTAGAGGATTTTTTTCTGACATGAGTGTATTTGGTACTCAAAAAGAATTTATAGCATTGTAAAACATCAGTTCTAACTGTGAATAAGCATACAAAAAAATTGTAGGAAGATTTTCATTGATTGAAATGTGATTGCTTTCTATTGTAGGTTGCATTGTGATTTTTTCTTCTTTTGAAATAATTTTATATGATAATATCATGGAGGTCATAATTGTAAGTAATTATGTGTTGATTCAAAGTAGGTATGGCTAGTTGGAATCAGATCAGGTTGGTTTACAGTATTATGGACTGTGGCTGCCATAACAAAAATTTGTCTTGTTATTGATATTGTTATTCTGTCCCCTTAAAGGGTCTGATAATGAACTAGCTTGCCACATTTTAAATGACTATGGTTACATTGAATGATTAAGTCACTTTTTCATTCATCATCCTGTACCTATGAGGGAGAGCTCCCTGCATCACAGATTTCTGTGTCTAAATTATTTGGATGTTGTGATCTGTGAAATAGATATGGCTTAGATGTAGGTAATTTAGTCAACATGTTCTGTGTATCACCTGGAACAAATTTGTCTGGGCATATGAAGTTGTACATATATAAAATTAAAAAACATACTATATTTAATTGTCAAAAAGAACAAAAAAAAATGTTTATTATTTTTTCCTTTTTCAACGGACAAATACATTGCTCTAAAAGAGAGAATAAGTTAAATATCAAACTTGTATCATCAACTCAATCCAAAATCATGTAAGACTCGTGATGTAAAAGTTAACCATTGCAACAAAAAAAGGGGTGGCATTGCTCTGGCCAAGCTTTGTGGATCAATAATTAGAAAAGCACACATCCAAGTTAAAACACCTCAAACATCTCATCTATTCTGTAAAACAAATTAACAGACTTTAAAATGTTACTAAAGGCTTATGTGCAGCCGTCCCTATGGTGAGGTGAAGGCGGTGGAGATCAGGCAAGCTGGCCGGTCTACAGGCGCCATGCTTGTCGCATCATCAGGTCAAAATATCCATCCTCATCAATTGAAGAACTAACCCCTGCATAATAATTGATAAATTCCTCTTCTGTCACCTGGCGGAAAAAGAAAAAAAAATATTAAGAGAGAAACTGGAAAACACTGCGGAACATGCAGCAATTCACTCAAACAAGGTACATTGAACTTTTTCCCCACCTTCCCGTCAAAGGCGTGCTCAGTGTCGAAATTACTGAGGAACTTCTCCAGGATCTGGTCCTCCGTCAACTCCCCGCTCTGGTACTGCGGGTGGGCCTTGACGGAGTACACGTTACGCAGGTCGTCGATGGTCACCACGCCGTCGCCCGTCTTGTCCATCTTGTTGAACGCCTGCTTGATGAGGCTCAACCGGTTTTCCGAGAGTGGCGGCTGCAACACATCAGACACACCACTGTCACTGGAGGGGCCAGGCCGCCGGCCGCCCAGGCCTAGAGGAAGCGAGAGCTACCCCACGCGTCAGAGACACCCCCGGCCGTGCACGGGGTATCGCCGGCGGCGGCGGACGCGCGGAGGGACCCAACCCAAGGGGGAAGGTGGTGAAGGGTTTTTCTGCCCACGCGCCCGGAGGGTAGGCAGCCCAACAAACACGCGAGTGTTGCGTGTCGCGTGCCGTGAGGGCGATAGGGTGTCGCGTGCCCCGTGCCGCGTGCGTCGCTGGGAGTGGGGCAAGTTGGGCGAGGCGAGGCGAGGCGACTCGGCAGACTCTATTTCGCGTCCAGTCCCAGCAGGCTGATTCCGAACAGTCGGGGCCCGACGGGACGACTCATGAGTGCGAGAGAGACAGTGCCAACGCACAGTTGGGAACACCTGTCCCAGTCAGACAGTCACGCCCGAGGCCCGAAATCGCTTGCAGTGGCGCGGGGCGCGGTGACTCGACTCCCGGCGTGCGGTGCGGCGCGGTGCGCGGCCGGCCGCGGCTGGCCCGGCCCGCTTGGATCGATCGAGTTGGATAAGCGTGGTGGGTCCCTCCGGTCATGTCCTCAACCCGGGCAGGGCCGGGCAGGGCCGGGCCACCGGCCGTCCGTCCCACGCCCCGCCCTGCTGCCCCCTTTCCAAACTCACTGCTAAACAACCATTCATTATTACTCGCACTCGCCCCACCGCAAAAGGGGCTGACAACGCCATTAGACTTCCAAATGCAGCGGCCATTTCGATGACACGTCGCGTTGCATGAATATGCATGAGCGATGCTCGTCTCGTCACGTCACAGATGACCAGCGCCAGGATGGCATTGCAATGGCGATCGCGCGACTCGGTGGCGAACAGTGGGCCAGAAGACCGGTGGAGGCGGCCAAAACTCTAGACGCGTTTTGAGCTCCAGAGTCGCTAAGCAGGCCTCGAACCTTACGTGTGACCACACCAATGGATTGCTCTCCGAACGAGGAATCCATTAGTGGGGTCACACGTTCGGTTCGAGTCCCAGTTAGCGACTCTGGGGCTCAAAACGCGTCTAGAGTTTTGGCCGCCTCCTCCGGTCTTCTGGCCCACTGTGTGTCGTGATACTCACGCGGATCTGCAGCAGGAACTCGTTGAGGCTGACGGAGCCCGACTTGTCCTTGTCGAACATGTCGAACAGCTCCTGCAGGTGCGACGCGTCCAGCTCCAGGCCGGCGTCCTGCATGCCGCGGCTGAACTCCTCGAAGTTGAGCGCCTTGCTGCCGTCGTCGTCCATCAGGCGGAACATCCTGGACAGAGTCTTTTTGTCACATCGCACGGGGACTCCAGCAATGGGACTCGAATGAAACGCACGAGGGTGCCGACGGATTCCTCTCGTCCGGAGGGCAATCCACTGGCACCGTCGTGGGTTCCATTCGAGTCCATTGGACGCACACTGTACTGTACCTGCCCAGCCCCATGATGCCGGACGCGCCCCTGGACAGGCAGATGAGACGCAGCCGCTCCAGCGGGCAGGCCGTGACGGACACCTGGCGGCGGGACTCGCTCATCATCAGCGACTCGCGGTGACTGTTGCCGGACTGGGGCCGCGACCACATCATCCCTGCAACGGACAGCACGCTCATTCCGTCTCTCTCGCACCCACGGGACGCCTCGCATCGACTCGCATAGATGTGAGGGAGACAGAGCGAAGATACGGCTGAAATGGTTGTGCGCTGGTACACTGGTCTTGCTGCCCCTGCCCCACAGTGTAGCGGGGGAAGTCCCAGCAAAAACGCCGACCACAAACCCACCCACATCCCCGCCACGCCCATGCAGTGGCTGCTCGTTGCATGTCGGTATGTCGGAACGCAAGGCCGCCCTCAAAGCCTCCGTCTCTCTCGCACCCCCGCGGGGCTTCCCGTGAGCGCGAGAGGGACAGAGCATCCGTTCGGAATCAGCCTGCAGGTACTGCATCGTGGCGAGGGGGTTGGCCACGACAGCCGCGCTGGGGCGGGGCGGCCAGCGCACAGCAACAGGCCCGCTCCGCCTCCGCCCCGTCGTCGTGCAGGCCGACATTATTGCCCTATCGGCTAGCCTTCCTGCTTATCCCGGCATCGCACTGCAGCATTATGCAGCGCAACCAGCCCGAGCAGTGCACCAGCCTGCACCAGCCTGCACCAGCCTGCACCCTGCAGCAGGCATGCATTATGCGCCATGATTGGTCGCTCGCCGGAGTCAGTCAGGCTGATCCCACACAGCGCTTCCGTCGCTGTCTCTGTCGCACTCCAAGGGACGCCCGCAGGGGTGCGACAGAGAGAGAGAGAGAGAGAGAGAGAGAGAGAGAGAGAGAGAGAGAGAGAGAGAGAGAGAGAGAGAGAGAGAGAGAGAGAGAGAGAGACAGCGCAGTGAGACATCGGCCTGCAGGGGTAGCCCGCCAGGCCGCCGGTCGCCTCGCCCCGTGAGTGAATCGAGTCGGAGCGGAGGCCGCGGTGCCGCGGTGCCCCCGGTGCCCTAGTTTCCGGCGCCAGCCACGCACGCCGTAATTACGGTAATAGACGCCGTGTGCACACTGTGCACCCAAGGACGAAGTTTGTCGGGACGTGACATAGATAAGACGCGCGTGTCGTTGGGCGGGGTGCGTGCGGGGCGAGCTTCCCCACGCCCCCTTCCCCCGCGCCTTCCGGTGAGAATTTTCGCGCTTCCGGGAAGGGGCTGGGAATTGAAACGGGAGTGGTGGTGTTTATGTGCGTGTAGGTGTGTGTATCTCAGACTGGGGCGGGGGTGGGGGTGGGGGTGACGCGGGTTGGAACGGGGCGCCGCCTCGCGCTTTCGCCCTGGCCGTGCTTTGCTATGCTTCGCTATGCTGCCCTGCTTGGCGTGCCGAGGGTGCGTCAGGAAGCCGGGGGGCGAGGTAGTGGCGGCACTGGGCGGCACTTCCAGGGAGACAAGCCCCGCGGCGACGGGGAGGTCCGCCGGGGGGAGGGAGGACGGCCGCTTGACGGCTTCATCGTCACGCTCTCGATGACGAGCCCCCCGTTCCGCGTTCGGGTCGCGAGCCGAAGCGGGCGTCAACGCCTCGGTCGCCACCGCGGGGCCCTGGCGAGGCGAGTCGCCTTAGCGCGGCCATCAGCTGCAGGGCGAGCAGGGCGTGCAGGGCGCACGCACCGCCACCGCCGCACTATCGACCTCGCCGACAAGGCGGCAAGGCGGCAAGGCGGCAAGACGGCCGGGGCATTGCGTTCGGCCTGCCGCCCGCCGCAGTGACCCCTGACCGGCGGCCACCAACACTGCACGCTGCACGCTTGCACCCCGACGACGGCCGTCTGGCCTCCGCCTGGCCTTTCGGCGGCCGCCCCTCCGAACTCCGAGGGCCGCGTGGCGACTTTCTCTTTCCCTTTGCTCCGTGGCGGCCGGTGGCGGCTCATCGAGGACGGGGGTGGGGCGCGTCTGGCCTCTGGTCGTGGAAGGTGCAGTGAACTTGGCGCCGGCAGGGCATTATCGCGCGAGGGGGGGAGTGGAGGGGGAATAAAAGAAACTCCTCCAGCCAGATGGGAGATTGGCGGTCGCGGACAAGGGGTGGCCGTCAACGAGTAGCGAGTCGAGGCGGACGCCGTTGGACACTGCGCCGCCCCGACGACCGCTCACTCGCGTCAGTTCGGAGGTTCGAATCCCGCCGCATTGCCGCTTTCCTCTGGTTGAGCTACATGGGCCGCCGGCACGCGACGAGGCCGCCGAAGCCTTCATCGGCTTCTCATCCTGATTATCGAGAAGACTGCTCCACCCCGCCCCGCCACGCCCCGCCCCGTCCCGCCCCGCCACGCCACGCCCCGCCTATCTCGCCGCCGATCTCCGCCCTCTGCCGATCCGGAGGGCGCATCCTAATGAGAAATGCAGTGGCGTGCGCAAGCGGGGCAAGCGGCGCAAGGTCGACCAGCACACTGATGCCGCACAGCGTTCCGTCGCTCCGTCTCCCTCGCACCCATCAGGGATGCCCCGTGAGTGCGAGAGGGGCAGAGCGACGACAGAGAGAGGCCATGGTGAGCTAGAAGACTAGGTCAAGCGGATACGATGGAGCACTGAAATCCTCAAGTGGTAAAATGCACAAGGTGTTTGATTCGAGGGAAACAACTATAAACAGAGACCAGCTTGACCAAGGTCTATACTCTGACCAGAAAACGAAGAGCCCTGAGTCCTCGCGGTTTATGGCATCTGCCGCCTTGGTTAGCATTGCAGGTAGCCCTCGACCGCGAGAACCCAGGGCTCTTCGTTTTCTGGTCAGAGTATAGCACCAACTTCGCGACGGCGGCATGGTGGCGCGTGGAGACCGTGGAGACCGTGGAGACCTCAACGCCGTCCCGACCGTGTGGACGGAAGGAAACACAACGACTGTTTGGCTGTCGACGGGGCCGCGCCAGGCCGCGCCGAGTGCCGAGAATCAATCTACGACGGCCTATCCTGTCGACTGTCGGACTGAGATGATTGTCTGGCGCGAAGGCCGCCTTCAAACATGGATGGGATGGGACTTCCCTTCGATCGGGTGCGTGGCTTGGCGGCACGGCGTGCCGGTGTGGTGCGTGCGACGACGGCGACCTCCGCGTCAGACTTACGGTGCGAATTCATCCTCCGCTTCTTGAGCATGGTGCTGGCGATGGCGGCGCGGCGGCGCGCGGCGGTCGGACGGGGTCAGTCGTGGCGTGTCTCGGCGGCGCTGGGGTCGCGGCGGCGTGCTGCCATGGCGGTCGACGGCCAGGCCGGGCGGTACCTCCACCTCCGCTGTGGTGTGTCGCGGGGGCCGGCACGGCGCGCACTGGGGCTGGGGGATTGGGGGCCTGGCGGCCTGGCGTCGGCCCCCCTCGGGGCCCGAGGGGCTGCGCGCACCCCCGCCTCCCACCGGCAGCAGGCGCCACGGAGGCGGGGAGGGGCGGCGGGGCGGGCGGCGCGTCCTTGGGGTAGCCGATGACGCCTTGGAGCAGGCTTGCAACTCGCGGGGCGTGCCGGCCACCGCCTGCCCGGTCGCGGACCCTTTGATTCGCTTGTGTGTCGCCGCGTCGCCGCCGCGTCGCCGCCGCGTCGCCGGCGAGACGGTGGCCCAGTAGCACACATCGGCATCGACGTCGGCGTCGGCCGCGTGGTCCGGTTCCACGGCGTGCTGGCCGTCCGCGCGGTCGATAGGCCTGTCATCTGATAGGACGACTAATAGGGACACTACTCGCCCCGCCCCGCCCCGCCCCGCCCCGCCCCGCCCCGCCCCGCCCCGCCCCGCCTCGCCACGCCCCGCCTCGCCACGCCCCGCCACGCCCCGCCACGCCACGCCACTGCAGCAAGCCGCCCTCCCACACACACATTACTAGACAGCTGCAAGGCAGCGGGCGCGCGGGCGAACGTATCTTCGGCGTGCGTTCGTGGTTTTTTCCATTCGCGTCGCTCGTTCGCTCGCTATGTAACCTAACTTGAACTTAACCTAAAAGGAACGTTACTTTAACGTAACTTAAAACAAATGTAACCTAAAATTAACCTAACCTAAAGGTTACCTAACCTTACTTACTTAACTTACCCAACCGTAATTTACTAGCCAGGGGAAGACCTTCGGCCTCGATGCTGAGCTGGATTCTGCTGGAGATGGAAATTCCTTTTTCATCAGTAGTAAATTTGGATGTGTTTATTTTGAAAATGAGCCTCTTTTCTTTTTGGGGGGTGATAGCCAGGAAGTATGTTTTTGCACGAAGGATTGTGATTCGGCAATGGTTGGTTTTTCCTTGAATCGACGGAAGGCTATTTAATAATCTAAAACTAAATGTTCCAACCAATCCTAACCTAACGAGCTCCTGACAGATCTTACTCTACCCGTGACAGATCTTACCCTACTCTCGACAGATCTTATTCTCAAACTAAATGGTCCAACCAATCCTAACCTAACGGGCTCGTAACAGATCTTTCTCTACTTGTGACAGATCTTTCCCTACTCTCGACCGATCTTATTCTCAAACTAAATGTTCCAACCAATCCTGGCCTAACCTTACGGGCACGTGACAGATCTCACTCTACTCGCGACAGATCTTACCCTACTCTCGACAGATCTTATTCTCAAACTAAATGGTCCAACCAATCCTAACCTAACCTAACGAGCTCGTGACAGATCTTTCTCTACTCGTGACAGATCATTCCCTACTCTCGACCGATCTTATTCTGAAACTAAATGGTCCAACCAATCCTAACCTAACCTAACGGGCTCGTGACAGATCTTACTCTACTCGCGAAAGATCATACCCTACTCGCGACAGATTTTATTCTCAAATTAAATGGCCTATGAAGCTTGGCGTACGACTATGGAGCTTGGATTATTGAGCTTGGACTATAGAATATGGACTATGGAGCTTGGACTATGGAGCTTGGGCTATGGAGCTTGGATTATGGAGCTTGGACTATAGAGCTTGGACTATAGAGCTTCGACTATGTATACGCATATGAATATAGTAAAAATAAACAGAGGAAGATACCTTTTGTTTAGGCCTGACGCTGTTGTCCGGGACATTTTGCTGTTGTCGTGGACATTTAGGATCGTCACGGACATTTTTGTTTGGGCCTGAGTTTGTTGTCCGGGACATTTTGCTGTTGTCCTGG